ACTACAACAATATGTATGTGGTGATGCTTTAGGGAGTGTCGCAGGAAAGCTTTTATACCCTATACGGTATAAAAGGGTCCAGTGGTTGGATGTAGGGAAATAAACTCGAAAACATGTATGGGATTGGGGAATATTACGATCTTGTTTTGGGCTTCATTGTGTTATATCTGTCATACATAGATGATGAAATAGCTTTCTTCTTGCTGCTGCAGGACTTAAGCTTTTTGTTTAAATTTCATAAGAAGCTGTCGTTATCCACAGGTTTTAAAACTGTTTCTGGTATATTTCGTTGGTCTGTACTTCATCTGATATCGAGACTGGAGTTCCCCCAAAAGTAACTTCTCTGAAGTATGCCAGACGATCTGGTGCTATTTAATGTGACACGCCGGCAGTGTCCACAAGTACAGACAGTGCAGATTACATCAGCCACTATGACGCGCGCGTAGCTGACGCGCGCGTTTTGATTTTGCCTATTTCGTTGTAATTTCATTGCGATAGCTCAAAGCGGGCCGAAATTAACTTCTTATTATTGTTCGGTGATAACAACAATTTAAGTTCCAAACAAGTAAAGATTTATTTAATTTTTTTGCTGCAACTTTATTTTAATTTTACCGTTAAATGGGAAGTGTCAAAACTAAAAAGAAGGCCGGGGGTTTCGGCATCATTCGCCGTATTACTCCGGAACCAGTGTAGAAGCTTATTTAAGAGCAGATAATAATTTTCCTCGGCATTCTTTCTGTCTGGATCCTGTTACCCCACGTTTACTCTACTTATGATTTAGATTAGTTATGCGTAGCAGTTTACTCATATTGTACCCTAAAACACCGGAGAGGTTGATAATAACGGGCTACTTAGATAGTGTCTAAAAATAAAGTGAGGTAATTTAGGGACAACGACAAGAGGCTCAAAAGAGTAGTAATCGACTTTTCTGTTATTTGTAAAAATAAACAGTAAGTATAGGTATATATCACACAAAATTATTACAGATCACCTAGGCAATAAAATCATCTATTTATTTCTTTTAAAGAATTGTGATGTTGCATTTATGCACTGTATCCGTCATACCTATTTCTGTTCTTTGTTTTATGTTTATTGTTCAATGATCTGATTGAGGAATGCTTGGAGGAATGTTATAGCTATTTTTTACTGTAAAACTAATTGGATAAACTTATTAAGAGGCGTCGTGTAGTCTGCAGTTATACACCAAGAATGCGACCAACTAAATTCCATACTCTTATGCAGTAAAATTGAGTACCCTCTTTATTACATTTTTTAAAAATCTCACAAATGGTTTATAAGCACTCATTAATTATTAATTAGGGGTTGTTCACATATTTAATTATCGATTAGTTCACATATTACGCAATCAGCTGAGGGGGGGTTTCCGAATGATTGCGCTAGTGTAATTTTGACACAATAGCTATGTGTAAAACTGATTACGGAGGGGGGAGGGGGTTAAAAATTGTCCACGTTGTTCACGTAATTGATCATGTAATATGTAAACGACCCCTTATAATATTGCCAATCAAATCATTAAATAATTCGTCTGTCGTAATCGTATTGCTTTTAAAAAACTGCAAACTTGGTACCGATAATTCTCATTAACAATCTTGGAATATATTATTATATTTATAATATATTATTATGATTAATGATTTTGCTATTATATATGCAAATTGATAACGTCTTGAACCAATTCGGTCTATTTCTTCGAGAAGTGCACATGACCTCAATTGTCATTGAACCTAATTGGCTAATTTCTTAATCAGAACGTCATTTGATGTCTGCAATTAGTAAATGTTGAAATATTTTACGATCAGTAAAGTGACGTTAGGTTTTGCAGTAAAAAATTGAGAAAAATTAATTGAGTGATTTTATTTAACCGTTGCTTACGTACTATATAATATATATATATATACAATTTATTACAAAGGTAAAATAGCACATGCATATTGTAAAAAATAAAACGTTCAGACATCAAATTGACCCACACGTCGATCGGGTAAACTGTCACTCCTCCCTCCCAAAAAGCCAACCTCCTATCCCTCTCGCCCCCAGATAGTTTAAACAATCTCCCACTCCCTGCAATCTCTAAACAATCCCAAACTATCCTGTCGATAGCCAAAACATAGTAACCCTAGTAATCTCTAAACACCCCATAAACCAACCTCGTATTAACCCAAACATATGTTAAACTGACCTCTCTGCACTTAAACTGCAATAACTGTCGTATACTAATATATACCCAAAATACTACCGTAAAATACTGAACACCACGACCACCTTATTATAATGAATAATCACTATACTAACTTCATATTACACAATATTACCCTAAATTCATCTCAATTGATCACGGCTTACATATATTACCTAAGTTTAACTATTCATCAGTCCAAAATAATGAATATTAAGACCTTTAAAACCGCAGCTTGTTTTTCAGTGGTTCATCCTCACCATAGGGACGTCTTTCTCTCCTTTACCCTGGCCCAAACTGCGATTTCTACTTACCGATGTCATCTTTGGCTGCTTTGAGGTGGCAGTAGAGTTGGTAGACTGTATGGTCGAGGCAGTGGCCAGTCGAGGTAATCCTCTCCAGACTTCAAACTGTGGTGAGAGGTACTTTCTCAGTTCCCTCATCCGCAACAGATACAGGACAGGGTTGAAGAGGGAGTTGAGGGCCACCGAGAGGATCTCCACAAAGTTGGAGTAGAAGTAGTATGGGTGGTCGAACTTGAGCAGGGAGGTTGTGTAGCCGGAGCTCCAGTGAGCCAGCATCATGATCCAGTAGACCAGAGTGGGGATATTCAGTACGACGTAGAGCAGTGTGAAGAGCACAATGGTCATGCTGGCGTAGTTCTTACCTCTATCTTCGCCCTTCTCACCCCGCTTCAGCCCATACACCGACAAGACAGCACTACCCAACATTGGCACAACCGGGAGAGCCAAGGTGACCGAGTTCCAAACATATCCGAAGGTCCTGACTCTATCACACCGCTCGTTACACTGAGGCTCAGCTGTATCGTACCACTCACACCTCATCCTCAGCTGGTCAAAGTACCAGTGATATCCCCACCACATTGGCACGGTCTCACAGACCACCAGCACCAGGAAGTAGAGTAACACCACTCCCAGGAAGTGGCGTCTTTTCAGCGCTCTAATAGTCGTGTTGAGGGGTGCCATGAGGAGGATAGTACGGTATATACCCAGCACTGCCACCAGGACCACTGTGGTTTTAGAGGCTGCTCCCCACACCACAGTCCACAGCTTGCAGAACCCCGGGGAGGTGAAGAGGAGAGGTTCTCTGGCTGGGGAGAAGTGGGGTAGGATGTAGGGTAGCATTAGAGCGGATACCACCAGTCCACTGCTACTATCACACAGTATAGTGTGTTGCTCACAGTCTTCCTCCGACTGTAGAAGAACCCCAGCACCAGACCGTTCAGGGCTAGTCCGAATAGTAGACACATGATCCCGATACAGCCGTACAGCCTTGTTAGAGCAGTCAGGGTTTGTGATGACATGGTAACGGCAGGTGGGTGGTCGGTGCCATACTGTGAGCCTCCTGTTCCGTCACTAGCTCCTGTTCCGTCACTGGCTCCTGTTGGCTCGCTTACTTGACCAGAGATGTCTGTAGCAGACATACTATTTTACTGAATACATAAACAGGGGTTAAACATAATCAGACTTGGAAAATAGACACGCATTTCCAGTTTGGCTCTGGTTAAAAATGGGACGATCGTTAATTTGTTGATAGTCTTATCAAATCTTTTTGAATTTGAGACAGGCATAAAACTCAACCGGGAATTTAATGTTTACGTTTTAACAGATTAATTTATTCGCTATTCTAGAAAATAGAACGGCGAAAATCTTTTCTCAGAAACCGTGAGAAAATGAAAGAGATGTGAATAATTGTTGAATAAATCACCGAGCCGAACAAAGTATCACAACTTAAGTAGTGATAAAAACTTAGAACCAGTCCCTCGTGCTCGTATTGAATTCAGGCCAGGCAAGTTAACGATTGTAAACATTGTTTGATATTTCAACAACACTATACGACTATTATACTGATACGACTCATTGCAGATTGTTTACATCCACATAGTTTAAATCAACATTAATGTAAACGGGTACGATTATCCTACTGCAACTTGCTCACACTTCACAGCAAGTTTTTAGTACTAATCGAATATCTGGCAAAGGTGCAACCGAACTTGATCGTACGTAACATTAAGGAGTAACACTAGGAGAAACATTAAGGAATAACAATGTAACCAGTTTCTAGACAGATCGGTCCCTTCTTAGTTCTGAGTTCCATAAATCTTACCTTTGAGTAGGTATGTATGGGACCTGGGTGCAACCGAACTTGATCGTACGTAACATTAAGGAGTAACACTAGGAGAAACATCAAGGAATAACAATGTAACCAGTTTCTAGACAGATCGGTCTCTTCTTAGTTCTGAGTTCTATAAATCTTACCTTTGAGTAGGTTAGTTAATAGTTACGATATTTTGCTTTGCCCGCTAATAATAGTAACGGACCAACTGGTCATGTACTTGGTAAAGTGCCAAACTTTGATCTTGGCAGAACTTTATAACCATGTATATAATGAACAGTGTTAATTAAATGCACGTTGGTATGACCTGTATTGGAATATTCTCTTTTTTAATTAGATAATGTTTCCGTTAAATGTAATGGGCACTAATTTTAAATGTCTTAAATACTTCGAACTTTGTTGACGACAGTCGTAATGTGTATCTCACGAGAGGTTATATTACGAATAAGTTTACCAATTTTGGGCCATCTACAGTTATAACCTGATTTACCGCGGAGTTTTGGAGAAAGGAAAACGCCGCGGTAAATCAGGGTGTGCGGTAAATCAGGGTTTTACTGTATTAAGTTCTTCAATCTTAAGTATGTTTGAAAAACTTAATACAATATGAAATGGTAATTTCAAAAACTTGACAAAATAATACTCAAATTTGTGTGGATATTTCGAACTTCTTTTAACCAAATAATAATCAATATCAATCAACTTTGAACATGATATTTAAACTATCACAATTCTGATCATCATAAAAACTCAATTTCAGTAAAAATGCATGAAAAACATCTATCTTGTTTCAAATTTTTGGTCAACAAACAATTCTCAAATCGAGCTGACTGTCATTTCTCAGTTAGCACGCACACAAATCAGGGGCCATCTTCTTCAAGTTTCAAACAAAACTAGGTATAGCTAGTGTTTTTTCTCTTTCTATACTCAGAAAGATAAGTCTCTCCAATTATCCCTCCTAATCCCTAAGAACACTGAAAGGAAGCAGATAGAAAGGTTTGGTTATGACACAGCTTTTTCCTGGAGCAGGACAATTCTGGGTATTGAGGGAAGCGGAATCCTTGGCGATACAGACGGATATCTGGAACACTAGCTGCCTGGATGAGCCGTCATCTTCCTTTACAAACCTGCACCAGTACGTCGCTTCATCCACTCCAAAACTGCTCTTCATTGCCGAGTCAAGCTGAGTGAAAGTGTAAGGTTTGTTTAGATCTGGCAAGATGCCAGCTTTAGCCAGGGCAGTGTCCACATCCAGGCGGTGGTTGAGTGTGAGGGCAGCACTGAAGTAGTGATGAACGTCAGGGAAGACGTCAGTACAGCAGGTGCCGTGTTTGCAGTACTCGTGAGACCAGAACTTAGTGTCTCCCCCCGAGTAGTCAGTAGGCCAGTGCAGGTGCATCTCGTCCAGCAGGTCGGGGATAGTGGTGGTGTTGAGGTGGCACTGGCTGCCGGCACAGTCAGCTGGGTAGTGGCTAGCGTCCCTGCTCGGCCAGAGTCCGTGTATCGTCCAGAAGTTTATCTGCTGAGGCAGCTGTTTACATCCGTGGCTGGCTTTGTAGCAGGAGTTGGGCGACCACTGCCTCACGAAGTCAAAGTAGTTGTAGGTGTTGTCTGCTGAGATGAGAGAGGGAGCGAGGAGGAGAAGGAAACAAACGAACAACATCGCTAGCTGTAAATAGTGAGTGTGGTAACTGCTACAGGGGTTAACATGTGGGTTAGTGAGGTTAAATGTGTACAGGAAATACACTTTTTCAGCAAATTACTCAAGGTGCATTTTAAAGGTGGGCCTTGTGGAAATATGAGACGCAACATAAGCGAAATTCGAAAATGATAAGTAAGAGAACATGGTGTCTGATAATATAAGCCGGTATCGAGGCAGGCTATCTTATCATATTATGACATTATATTGCGGTCTAATTATACACTTTAAATCGAATTTGGCAGTTCTTGTACTGTTTATCAGTTACATGAACCATGGGATCTGCTAATATAGGTACTGCTCCTTCATCAATTAAATATATATATATATATGTTACGAAGAAATAATATTCGAGCAATATATCAGAGAAAAACGTCATGCTGTTGAACAATCGAGACAAAATCAATTAGTTCACTTACCCTTCGCTCTTATGTTATGTGTACATACAATTAAATGTATCAAAATCAACAATATTATTCAAAGTACGGACGGTTGCTCAATGCGCATCCAACCAGTGAATTGTTTATCAGTGGAAGGGTTGTCAACAACTTCTTCAGGACTTAATTTACCTCGCATATAGAAAGTATACAATATTATACATATTATACACTATACATTATACATTTTACATGGAGGTGGGAAAATGTTATTGATACGAAAGTTAATTGTTTCAGAATCTTTTAAACAACTTGAACTAATCATCTTAATTTTTCTTCAGATGGCACACCTGTGTATGGAGTTTGCGTGGAACAAGTTGACAGGAATCTCAGTGGACACCCACGTCCACAGGATCTGCCAGAGGCTAGGCTGGACTCCCGCCGGACTAAAACACCCTGACGACACCAGGAAACTTCTCGAACACTGGCTCCCTAAGTACGTGATTTATTGCTTTTATAAACTTTTTTATACGTTCTCTGGTTACTGAAACACCCCCGGAGTAGTTCACAGTTCCCCAGGTTTCCTGTGAATCAGACTTCACTCTAGTTCACAGTTCCCCAGGTTTCCTGTCAATCAGACTTCACTCTAGTTCACAGTTCCCCAGGTTTCCTGTCAATCAGACTTCACTCTAGTTCACAGTTTCCTGTGAATCAGACTTCACTCTAGTTCACAGTTCCCCAGGTTTCCTGTGAATCAGACTTCACTCTAGTTCACAGTTCCCCAGGTTTCCTGTCAATCAGACTTCACTCTAGTTCACAGTTCCCCAGGTTTCCTGTCAATCAGACTTCACTCTAGTTCACAGAAGTTGGAAAAAATTAAATTACGGTATCTTGTGGTCCCTTCCTCATAGCTTTCAAACTATAAGAATTAACAAGTATTGAACTGTAAGGTTGAAAATCCCTCAGAGAAGAGTGGGGTAGAATAAACCTGATGATGGTTGGCTTCGGACAAGTGGTGTGTCTTCCCACAAAACCACGCTGCTTCGAGTGTAAAAACAAAGATATATGTCCCTACGCTAAGGATAATCCTGAGAGAACAAACAAAAAAGCAAGCCAGACTTCTAGGTTAGTATTTTAAATCCCTTTTTTATTATTTTAATAGTTTAGTTGTATCTACCGTATGTACATTGTAGATTGTACATCACAAAGTAATATTTGTTGCCGTTTGTCGGACAGTCTGAAAGTGTGAACAGTTTAAAGATAGTTTTCTAAATTTCTTCAATTCCAGACCATCTGCACGAAGTCAAAAAACACCTAAGGACGAAAAAGTGGAAACTAAACCACGAATAAAAGCTGAAAAATCCGGTAAGAAATTATTATGTTATCATGCATTTTAACAGAATCAAGACTCTGCAGCTGCATGTCATATTTTCTAATTGACAAATGGCATAAGTCCAATGATTTCACTGTAAATTGATCATGTTGTTCCTGTAAACAGGACTTATTAAAAACCAACAAATCTTGACTGAAGTTGTTTCAGAAGCAAAGCAAATGCCGGAACACTCTACTCCGTACAACACAGGACCCACCCCTACTCCGTACAACACAGGACCCACCCCGGGGACCCCCCTCTTAACCCCACCCCTCCAACCTCCCCACCCCGAAATGTCGTCTCTCCGCCCCCTACACCTCACCCCTGACTCCTACATGTACCCTCACTACCAGCAGCCCTACCCTCCTAACTACCTCAAACCTGAACCTGACCACATGTACCAGACTCTCACTCCCTCGGCCTCGCCTCACGGTCCGTACGAGGCCGGCACCAACCCTTTCTACCAGCACCCTGGTAATGGCAACTACAACTTTCCCGGGAGCTTCTTTCCGAGTAACAACGGGAGTTACCCGGTAGCAGCCCAGGGGCCTGTGAGTTCACCCTGCGTTCAGAGTCCAATGATAGACACTACAACCAGTAGCCCCCTAATAAACCCTTTCAGTAACACTGAGGAGGGTAACAGGGCTCCGGGTGAGTCGGACCCTCTGCGGGACAAATCCAACAACGTGCTGGATAACTTCCTGGATTGGTAGGATAGCGGGGAACGCGGGATGCAGGGTTATTGTACATTTGTTAACCAGGGTGTGGGAGCAAGGTTGTTTTAGTATTTTGCTCGCATTGCTATGATTTGCCGTGGTTTTAATACAGCAGATTGAGATTTATGCAAGGCGTGATTTTCGATCCAACGAATTTTGGTTTAATACATTTATTTAGAATTTTATTTTTCTATACCGGTTGATGAAAATTAATTATTATATTATTATTTAGTTTTATTATCAAATCAATTGGTTGGATTTTCTCGTTTAGGAGACAAGCTAACGATCGTATTATCATCAAACAAATGAAGTTTTGGGAGTTTGAATGTTTACAGTGTCATATTCAACAACTTCTATAAGTATACCTAGTATATGATATACATGGTGGTTTGATGCTAATTAATTAATTGATTCATTATCATTATGTTGAATTCTATAAATCGCCATTGATATTAAATCGATTTTCTTCCTTAAATCCTAACACAAATCAAAACATTAAATGTTATATATATTTTTTTCGTCAACGTTTTGCTACTTCGTTATATCGTCATAAATACTGCATGCTCGATTATATTGCATTTGCCAGTATTTCTATAATTTTGATTACGTGGTTCCATTTGAAAATACCTTGCTACTTTGAGGTGCGTTATACTCGATAAAGTAAGATATTTGGGCGCCATGAGAATTGTTGTCTGAACAAAGTCCCAAGAATATAGTCACTTATGTTTGGGCACTAATATTTTACGCTAATATTATGTAGTGAAGATATGTATGATCGGTTGAAGTTGCATTGTCAGTTTGTAAATGTTGCTTATGTAAGTTGGGAGTGTATTCGAAATTCCGTTCTTTGGAACTTTTCGTGGCGAGGAATTTCTTAGATTTGTTTCATATAAAATATGAAGCTTGTTGTTTGAATTTGTAATAAAAAACTTCCACTTTGAATATCATGATAGTACGCGATGTTTCATTAACTTTCAACTTTTACTTAAACTTTAGAAAGCTGTAAAACAGTATGTAAATGAAATGTGTGAGTAAGAATTGTAAATGGAAATGAACCATGTTTTAATAATTTTGCTAATTCATGTACTTTCATATACAAAAACAAAAGTATCTTTAATTGTTAATTTTACATCAAACTTAAATTTCTTGCGTTTGGTTAGGGACTAGGGAGCGTTCACATATATGACGTCAGCAAGATTTTAGCCAATTCCACTGAAAGCATTGTAATTGTATCACGTCTTGGGTCATTTTTATTTCATTCAGTGTCTGGGTGAAAGTCACAATACTTATACAGCCGCGCACTCGTGCGTTGATTCACGATGTCAATCCTTCGCATCTCGCCGATCTATGGTTGCGACACGATGCGCGGCCCAGTAGTGCATCGCGCTACAAACTCGTGCGCGGCGGGCCTGTAACGAAAGCATTCACATGGCCATGTGTATACGCGTACTTCGTGACGCGCTTGCTCTAACCAGAGCCCTCTCGCTTGCAGTAGCGCGCGACCGAAACAAGCACGTCTGCGTCACACAGTACGCGTATACACATGGCTATGTGAAGTGACGCGCTACTGCAATTAATTATATATTCGTAAAATATTTGTTCCATATATTAGTCGACGAGTCCAACTCGGCGCGCGTCCTGGTAGGTTAAAAACCTACAATACTGCACGCGAGAGTGCTCTGGTTAGAGCAATCGAAAGCACACTCCCCAAATTGCGCGCATTCAGTATTTGCATTTCAGTAACTTCATAAATCATTGTCATACTTTGTATGACCCGCCGCGCACTAGTATAACCCGCCATATATCGTTAATTAAAACGCGATACACGTTTTATCACAATGAAACAACCGTGGGGGTCACGAGTCCAACTCGGCGCGCATCCTGATAGGTTGTATACCTACAATACAAATAAATCGATATGTGTAGCGCTATATTGCACTTTTGAGCCGCGCCGCGCATCTTCAGTAGATCGGCGAGATTTTGCATTCATTTGATAATGTGGATTGTCGGATCAAGCTCAATTTTATAGAATTGTGTTTGGCCTTTGGCCATTCGAATAACGTTTGTCCTGAAAAAAAATTAAAACTGTTATAGCTCCTCATATGACCGAAATATGAAACATAACGAGTTTATTCAATAAAACAAATATTTAATAAAACAAATATTTGTTTTTACTGCACAATCAAACAATATCAATAATAAATAAATCAGGGGAGGTTTGAAAAGGTTTCAAGTGCCGAAGGCCACTGCTTATCTTTAGGATTTGAGAGTGACCTTTGATTCACGATGTCAATCCTTCGCAGCTCGGTGAGGCACAGTGGTGCATCTCGCCGATCTACCGAAGGTTGCGAGAAGCATTATTTGATGCGCGCGCGACCCAGTAGTGCATCGCGCTACAAGAGTGACCTGTGCTTGAAACCCCCTCAACCATCCACTAGTACGTCAATATACTTATTATACCAAAGGGAACAGTCCTAGGAGACCAAGCTAGGCTGGACATTTCTGCAAGATCGATTTGGAATGCTTCAGTGTTCAGAGAGGGCATCTTTTGATGTAAGGGTATTTCATGCCCCAGCCCACTCCAATGCAAGCAAATTGATCCCAGCCACTGCTTATCTTTAGGATTTGAGTGTGACCTGTGCTTGAAACCCCCTCAACCATCCACTACGTCAATATAATACTTATTATACAAATATAGAAAAATATAATTATCTAAGCTAAAATTGCTTATTGGTCTAGTTTGGTGACATAAGTAAAATACAATTTTTTAAGTAAAATACCATTTTTATTTTCCACAGAAGAATCAATACATATTGAATTATAAATATCCGATAATTCCATTAATAATCATTAAAAGTTGCTTTGTCATTTGTAAAATCAAAAACGAAAAGCCCCACGCTGCGAAAAGCTGCAAAAAGCTGCGAAAAGCCCCACGCGCTGAACGCGTGCGGCATTTTTTTCTGCAGCTGCCTAGCTTCAAGCTTGTAGCCGCTAACATCAAAGCCGCCGCGCGCGCCCAGTTGCCAGTGCTGGGGTGCATTCTCATTAACAATTAAACTTGGTCAAAGATATTTACATACAATTCCTAAATTAAGTCAATAATCATGTTAATATGAGTATTCAACACTACTCGACAACAAATATTTGCCGGCCCATCAACGATTCAGTCGCCGAAACAAAAATCAAATGTTTGCTTTTTCGTTTCGGAGACTGTTTGTACTATATCCGACTAATCACACTTTATAATGGCTAAAATACAAAGTAAAAAGATTTTCCTCGATGGGCCGGCATTCGCAACCGCGAAACGTTTTGAGTACGACAAACGATGACACCACCACCAGCCGTTAATTGAGTCCATGGGTGACGGGATAAAGTTAAAGTAAGATGTGTAATTTCATATTGCCTATCACCTATCACCTAAGTTACTTTGCACATACTGCTTCTAGTTACACGATAGCGATCTCAGTTCCCAATAACGTGTGACCCAACAGAGGGGATTGTGGAAGGACACGTACATTTTTCATTAACACGTGCCCTGATTACCCCCTCGACTCCGTTGAGCTACTATACGGGGAACGTTGACCGCCAGTCTGTAGTCAGATCGTTAATAATAATAATCCTGTTAATAAATTATACTTTAAAATTGGTTGCCGGGTGATGGTGTCAGTGAGAGACGTTAAGTTAGGTGAACATTGGTACAAAAATATAATAATCTAGCAGTTTATCTCAAAGTTAAAATCACTATTTGTTAAAGTATACAAACAGTTCTATTCAAAAGAACAAAGTCCGAGAGCAGAGAGAAGATTTGGAGACTATACACGCATATGTGGGGCTTAAATTTGGTATTAGTAATTTTAGGGTTCGACCGAAAATGTTGGTCGGTTGGTTCATAGGGAGCAGTCACTGTCATTAGAATTATCAGATTAGGAGCAACAATTAGAATCAAATTGGACATATTGTGTATTGTGTATTGTGAAATCAGTGAAACCTAGAATGGCGGTAAAATGCTAGCAGCTAGCGCGCCTTGTTATGCGCGCTAACATACTAGCTGCTGAAAATAAAGAAGTATATGCATGATAATGTCGTTTGGCGGCAGCGCCTGTCGATACCTGGATTATATTGTGTTTAACTTAGAATTCAGTGAAATTTTGGTCATTCCATTCAGCACCATACCTGTTTTGGGCATTCATCAATGACTTTTGTAATTTATTCTTAACAGAAGAACAAGAGGAATTAAAATTAAATGAGCCAATTTTACAAAACTCATTCCACAGCCACGCTGATTTATAGATGAATTGTTTAGTTGGAGAAGGTGTGATTAACATATTGTCTTTCCTATGGGATATGGTGAACAAAGAGAACATTGAAATTGGTACTCTTGTCTTAATTATCTTAAAAAATTCCATTAGGCAACGTAGTCTATATAGGTTCTCTACAGCTAGTAATTTATGTTTTGCAAATAGAGGTTTGGTAGACTCCTTAACATAAAAATCGCAACCCAAACGTTGGGAGCCGAACGGTCTAACTCTAGCACATGTTTTGAATTTGTCTACATACCTTTTATGGTCTCCGAATAGAATTCTTATACATTTCTTCTGAGTAATAAATAGTGGTTTTAACTGGATATTAGGAATACCTCCCCACACAGAAATAGCAAAACCGAGATGTGATTCAAAGAGAGAATGGTAAATTTGTTTATATAGTGATTCTGGTAAGCATTTCTTAATACGGTAGATACGTCCACAAGCACTGCTTAGTTTTTTGTTAAGAGATTGTATGTGTGGTTTCCAACTTAATTTGTCATCAATAATTACTCCAAGGAATTTAGTTTGACTAACACGCTTGATTACCTTGTTATTCATGGATAGGTTTATTTAGTTTCATTGATTTATTAGTTTCATTGGCAATAGCTATCTATATCGGCGTCTAATTCATTATTGTTACGTTTATTTGGAGAGAAGTACATGTAACAGCACTTTTTTACATTAATATGTAGTAGGTTTACTATCATGTACTTATTAACAGCCTGCAGTATTTTGTTAGCCATGTCATATACCTTATCCTTTGAGTCGGCTGCAACAAATATATTAGTGTCGTCAGCAAATAGAACAAATTTACCTAGACTTGTTATATTACAAATATCATTTATGTACAGTATGAACAGTAGAGGTCCGAGCACACTCCCTTGGGGGACTCCAAATTCTACAGGTAATTCATCAGATTTTACATCAAGAACGTCCACAAATTGTTTTCTATTAGATAAATAACTAGAGATAAGATTTAGAGGTGTACTTTTGCTCGTGGGCCTCATTACTGACTAGGGGTGATTTGAATATGTGGAATACAGCGTGATGATGGCTGATGCAAGTACTTATTGATCCAGAGTAAACAGAATTTTCTATGTTGGTAGTGAGTATGTTATCAATGCATGATTGCTTACATCCTG